AAACTCACCATCTATGACAATGAGCGGAATCCTGCTGTATGAATCTGGACAAAGCTCTGCCGTAACCACACCTGTACTGTCCTGTGTCTGACTTGGTCACCTGTGTGATGCTCATTTCCAGTCCAAATGCAGATCCTACTTCATACTTTATGCTGTATCTGCCACTCTGAGTTCTGTTCCCATCTGTTTCAATGATGATGTCCTCTTGTTTTTTACATTCACCCTTACAGAAGAACTTCCATGTTCCGTAAATAGTATCGCCGCATCCAAGTGTGACATCTTCTCCTTCAGTATTTGTAAGGATAAAACCAGAAAATCCAGCCAGTGGCACTGTTGAAAAGAGGAGCAATCATTATTTACTACCTGTAAGATGGTGCAGTTTGATCACAATATTTCCTGTTCTGTTTCACCTGGTTTCACACAGGATGTGACAACCAGAGTCCGAACAGCACAAATAACTCTTATTTATTCTTATACATTCTTCCCACAATTATATTTTTCTTCAGAAATCACTTAATATGGTGAATATAAATTTGGTGTAATTTTGGGTCAGTAGAAACTCACCATCTGAAACTCTGACCTCAAAGTCAGTGAATGATTCTGGAACCGAAGTCCCGCCCAGACCACACCTGTACCGTCCTGAGTCAGACTTGATCAGATTTGTGATGGTCACAGACACAATTCCTCTTCCAGAAGATCCGTTTCTGTAGTCAATGCTGATTCTGCCACTCTGAGCTCTGACATCATCTGTTTTAACCAGAATATCTTCTGCTTTACATTCGTTCTTACAGAAGAACTTCCTGCTTCCAGACAGAGTGAAGTAGCAATTAATTGTACCAGTTCCTCCCTCAGCTCCTGTAAAAATGTTGACTTTTGCGCTGACGAGCCCAGTGTTTCCACCACACAGTGCTGTTGGAAAGATTAGAATTAGATTTTGTTATAATTAATTCAACAAACCACCTTATAAACACGTGGATATTCTTTGTGTATAATTTATGTTTCTATCCATCAATGAGCAGCTACAGTTCTCTCAGTCTGTGTAAAATCTGCAGGAAGCATCTCATTTTATCTTTGTTGTTCACAGCTCCAGCCACTTGAAAACCAAATTTGACTCTTCGACCTTTTTAAAATCAGTCCCTAAAACCACTACCCAGCTGACAGGTACCGCTGCAGGCCCTACTTTTTTAAGGGTTTAATTTTTAGTCAAAAAAAAATCTTCCAAATAAGTAATATTGTTCAATAATTCATAATTTATTGAAATGATTTAAAAATCATTTTGATAAGATTTTAGTTAACATCATGACCCACAAATTGTATCTAATATAAGACAGTAACACCAAAATTAACCAATCAAAATTTAATTTGTGGTAAATCCTGATGGTCAGTACTCTTTGTATTAGACACAGACTGTAAAATATTCTGCATGTTAATGAGGGATAATCAACTTCGAAAGGAACACAATTAAGCGGAGATGATACAAAATTCAGCTGACTCTATAGCAGTTATTGTTTTTGTACTTGTAGCTAAGGGTGTCCTAATTTTCTAACATGAACTAAATAAATTACCAACATTGAATAACAGATGATGAATATTTAGTTTAGTTTAAATTGCTTTCCATTTCATTACATGGGCTGGATCAGATTGTGGAAATGCTGCAGCAGAAACTAGTAACAGAAAACATCAGAGAACAACAGGACATCTGAATAAGAACACAGCAACTGAAAAACATTTATCATTCAACATTTGGACAAATGTCCAGCAGTGTGTGCTGCAGCTTTAAAGAGACAGTCAGGTAATCAGTCCTCACCTGAGAAGAAGCAGAAGAACAGAACACGGTGGATATTCATTCTGAATTTGATCCTGATGGAGACAAATCATTCAACTGCAGGAGAACTGCCTCTATCACTTCACTCCTTCCACTCTGTCTGATCAGTCAGGAAGATGAAGGTGCTTTAACGTTTACTCTGACAGCCAGTTCTGGGACTCTGGGTGTGTTCTTTGTTTCACTCGTTTCTCCTCCCATTCGGTTTGTCTCTCCGTGTGTGTGTTGGGTGTGACTTCACTCATGGTACCTGTACAGTTTCACACAGGTTCATAAGCAGAGATAGCACGTTAGCGGCCGGCCCAGCGCCCCAGCTGGTTAGGGGACAGTTGATAAATAACACAGTAGGCCGAGAGGAGGTGCATGTAGTTTACTTCCATTAATGATCAAAGGTTCACTCTTTTATCAATGAAACAGTCACTTCACTCCTGGTTTCAATGGTAAACCACCACAAGAATTTCAATTACCAACAAAAAACTAATAAATAATAAAGTAACATTTGTTTTCCACGTAAATGGCAAACTTATTAGAAAATTTTGACAAAAATGTCTTCAGCGTCATGCATTGCGTGAATTCTAAACGATGGATGTATCAAACTGGATTCACACAGGCGGCAGCTGCACTACATTTTTGTTCTGTCTTCTGCCCGGCGTCAACTTACGCCAGGAAGAGGACGTTTCATTGTAAGCGAGTGTTTCATTGTAAGCGAGTGTTTAGCCTGCCCCACGTTGTTGACTAGTTTATTTGTATTTTCTTGTGCTTCTACTACCGATCACAGCTCTCTGTGAACTGGTTTTGTTCTGCTCTCTGCACGGCTAAGATCCCACATGGAGCATTTCAGAATAAGAGCATTTTGCCTGCCTGATTTTGCTGACTTGTTCAGACTTTGTTGATTGTTTCAGGTGCTGTTGTTTATTGTGCTTCTACCATGGTTAAAAAGTCTGTGTAGTTAAATTGTTTCTTTTTTGTCTGTTTTAACTGTGTTTATTGTTGATATTTTTTTGTGAAGATGAATAAAATAACGAAAACTAGATGTGAAAAATTGTTGTAAACTGAAATAAAAATTAAAACGAGGATTTACAAAAAAAACTACAACTAACTAAAACTGTATTGTACGTTTGCAAAACTAATTAAAATAAACAAAAAAAAAGAGTAAATGTCAGTTCTCGCCTTTGTCAATTTATTTTATATGACTTATATTTTGGGTGGATATGAAGCTGGTTGAACTGACGTTACTAGGTCGTTGATCTAGCTGGATCGCCAATTCACGATAGACGATAGATTGATTAGACGATAGGCACCTGTTGGTGTGCCGCAGGTCTTTTATGCATTTGTTCTCCGCATGAAGGGCTTGCACGCTGCATGTCGAGTGGCTGTCCAGCTAAGACTGCTTTATTCGTCAAGAGAGCCCGGGTCAGAGCAGCGTCTGGCCGCACTGTAGCAGGTGGTGTCCGCTGTTAAGAGGAGCATAGGAAATAAATAACATTAACAAACATAACATGACAGCCCAAGCTGTGATTGGTTTTCTTTTGTTTCTCTTCCTATCTTACCAGTGTTCTCCTCTCTCTCCAAGATCTTTCTAAGTTTCTGACCTTCTGGAGAGGATTCAGCTCCACCACATCTGAGGAGATTCCACCTGACAACCCACTGCCACGGGCCTGCTCGAACCCCATCACTCCGCCTGGACCAAATTCTTGTTGAGTTTTTTGAGAATAAAGACTGTGAACTTCCTCCTCGCACTTTCTTTGTCTTGTCTTTGTCTGCACCTGGGTCCCCCTGAAACAAAACCTGTGTGAACACCTAGTGAAAGCCCTTCCTCTTTCCTATACCTTTTGAAAACCATATTTTTGTAATTTTATTTTTTAAATATTTTTGCACCACTTTTTATACTGGGTCATGTTCGGGCACTGTATTAACACCTTACTCAGTCTGTTCCACAGCTTCACTCCACATATAGAGATACAAGAACCTTTCAATGTTGCATGGACACAAAGATGCTTTAACTGAACTTCTCCCTTAAACTTGTTTTTCAACTCTTCAGATCTTTTCCTCTTCAGCTGTTTCTCAGACATCTCTCCTTGTGCACAGCGCCCAGAGTCCCATAATAATTCCAGAATGTTTGAATGTACCAGTGTTGGCAACTTTCTCTCTCCCAGAGCCCTTCTTCTCTCACAAGCACGCTACCGCCACCTGTTGCTGATTGGCTGGAAAAATGCTCCAAGCCACTTAGTTTGTGTTCCATTCACAGAGCCAGGGGCTGTGAAGGAAAACTGGATATTTCACATGTGGACTTTTATCACGGAGATTATTAAAGTCAGAGAGAGTCGGTCTGTCAGACACTGTCTGACAGACACACTGTAGTATTTAGACTCAGTCCCACATACACCGCCTGCTGACCCAGATCATCACTAAAGCACCACATGTGGATTAATTTACCACTGAAAATAGTCTCCAACAAATGCACTATTTCCTCCTGTTTGTTTAATAAAAACTACAGTCAGCAGTTGTTTTAGGAGGCCTAATAAAATTGAATATTAATATTTATTTGCCTGTTTTGAACAGCGAGGCTTGTGATGTTTATATTGTGTTGAAATAACTTAACAAAATGTTCAGTCTCCTTAAAATAGTTTGAATTCCAAATTTCTTTAAAAGCCGTGGTCGACTCTGTCCGGGCATGAACAGTCTGTAATATCACACATACAGATTAATCCCAAAACATAAAAGGAATCCACAATCCACCATATAAATAAACAAATCAACAAATGCATGGCATACATTACCACAGTGGGAGATCAGTAATTTACTTTAGCATAAAATAATAATTCTTTGTCACACCGTCTGAAAGCGTTGTGTAATTGCAATTCCAAACATGTTGCATTTAACCCTGGACTCAGGGAGACTCATCTGTGATGCAGCACTGAATCTGTGTAAACGTTTCAGTCAAAATATCTCTGTTCTCTGTGTTATCCAGACTTCAGGGACAATGTGTCTCTGTGGGATGATATGATTGACCCTAAAGCTGGATAAATAACAGGCTCACTCAGCTCTCCTCACTCATTCGAGCATACATGTACACAGCGTATGTGTGTTGCTGTGAGTCCTTCTGCAGAAGACTTGAATAAAATTCACAGAAAGACAAGTGTTTGCCTGAGCTGTTTATTAGAAAACTGGAATTGCCATCACAATTGTTAATGACGCACCTTTGAGTATTTTTCAGTCTTTTATGTAAACGTGCAGTACCATCTTTCACCACACAGGACCCACCAACATAATACAAATAAAGAATGACAAACACAATGACTTCATTAAACTAAAATAACAATTACAAAATGACGCTTAGTGTGGCATATTAAATGCTGGACTGTATTGATTTCTTTATGTTTTTCTCAAAGTTTGGGAAAGAATAACCAACACCTACATTTCTGAAGACAGATTTGACATTTCACAATAATCAAGTGATAAAATGCTGAACAACCTGAGACAAATGATCAGCTCTGCATCATCAGAAGAGAGATGATAATATGATTTATAGATAATATCTGCCAAAAGAAAAGGAAAAAAATGGAACCTTACAGCACATTATAAGCTGCACAGTACAAAACCAAGATTCAAATGCAAACATTACTATTTGTATCCGGTCTTAAAATGAGTCCCTCAATTGAAGTTCTGGTAGATGGAGTCTTCACATGTGGAGACTGGAGGACAGTTCTCATAGATGATGGACTGAAAATAAAACAGGAACGACATCAAAACTAAAATACAGTGGCCAGACTAACAGACCAGACATTTATTATTCCTAGGCAACTGTTAAATAGCACATTTAGAGCAAGAAGTACAAGGTAATTTCTAAAGTAAGAGTAATAGCAAGATAAATTGTACCATAATAAGACCAGCATAAGCATAACTGAGTAAAATCAATATTGGTGCAAAGAATTTAAAACAAAGGATGTAGAAGGGGACACTGCACTGCCTACAAAACACTATGTTAAGAGTACTTAACTCTTAACATAGGACCAACTGAGAACCTGACATTTCTATCCACAGGGCCACACTATTCTTCTCCAAAGTCATCTGTCAAAAAAACATAGTCACCTCCACCTCCATTGTACGCTGCCTGCATTTCCTCTGGTGTTCAAACCAGTATTCCTCCTTGTCTTCCATTTGTAGATGACCAGCAGAGAAACAGCCAACAGCACAAGAACCAAGGGCAGGCACACAACCAGAGGCAAGAAGTAATGGGCGAGGGACACAGGAGAGGGCTGGGAGGAAAGAAGAAAGAGAGAGAGACAAGTAGCAAATACACGGTTTATTAAAAGGGAACTTTTTATCTTTAACTTGGAACATAAGGTGCCCTGTGAAGTTTTTGATCACTAGTAGAGCTATTTTGTTTCATATGTTTGACCCTGTTGTGTTTGATTTCATGCAAGCACATCTTGGTAAATGTAATAAAGATTCCTGCCAAAAGACACCAAATCTCTGCATTCAAGTCAGTTGTTAGACCTCAAGGATACACAGTGTTTTGGTGTTTTAAAGTGCTTTCACAAGAGCAAAGAAAATAAACACAGCAAACAAAAGAAGATACACGCTAAAAGCAGGAAGAAAGTTATGAAATTAAAATACAGTTAAAAGAAAAATAGATAATTAAAATCAACTAAAATCAGGAAAGACTTTTATATAAAAGTATGTTTTAAGAAGGGACTTATAAGAGTTCACTGACTCAGCCGCCCTGAATTTCCTCGGGCAGGCTGTTCCAGAGCCTCGGGGCCCTGACAGCAAACGCTCTGTCCCCTTAGTTTTCAGTCGAGAAAATGCGAATGTGTGTGTGTTACACACTCCTGTACAGTAGATTGCGGTATGCACCTAAACATTTTTTACAATCCGGTCTTAATCAAGAGAAGAAGCAGCAGAAGGTCGGAGTCAGTGGTGAGTTCATTCATGCAATCAATTAAAAACGGATAAACTCTTAAATTACAATTTTGGCCAAAGATATACTTTGCATATTTCTGGGTGTTATTGTTGTGTCCCTGACGTTAACATATTTGATACATATTTGAACATCATTTAACACTTTAAACTGCAACAGCGTTTCAATTAGACGTTAGCGAATATT